ACCAAATCTTTAAGTCCTCCGGTCTTCAAGTATGCTGCTCTTCAAGTTGAAATGTTTAAACTCTCCAAGTCTCCAAGTTGAAGTCTTCAATTCCGTCAGTATTCAAGTTGAAGTCTCCAAGTTGAAATCTTCAAATCTGTCGGTCTTCAAGTTGAAGTCTTCACGTTCGCCACTCTTCAAGTTGAAGTCTCCAAGTTGAAATCTTCAAATCTGTCGGTCTTCAAGTTGAAGTCTTCACGTTCGCCACTCTTCAAGTTGAAGTCTTCACGTTCGCCACTCTTCAAGTTGAAGTCTGCAAAGTCCACCAAATCTTCAAAGTTTTCAAATATTCAAGTCAATGCCGTCAAGTCCACAAAGTCTTCGAGTTGAAACTATAACTTTTCAATCTTAAGATGGACATATGAGTCCCTTTGCACCTTAAACTGGCTGCTTCGTGGGTTTGTCCTTAAAAGGAAACCATAATTTTCCAAACTTAAGGTGGACATATAAGTCCCTTTGCACCTTAAGTTGGCATCTTCGTGGGTTTGTCCTTAAAAGGAAACTTTATTTTCCAATCTTAAGGTGGACATGTAAGTTTCTTGAGAGTAATCTCTCCGATAGTCGGAGCACATTGAGAGTAATCTCTCCGATACTCGGGGCACATTGAGAGTAATCTCTCCGATAGTCGAGATACATTGAAAGAAATCTCTCTGATATTCAAGTCACATTGAGAGTAATCTCTCCGATAGTCGAGATACATTGAAAGAAATCTCTCTGATATTCAAGTCACATTGAGAGTAATCTCTCTGATAGCCAAGCTACATTGAGAGTAATCTCGACAATAGTCGAGCCACCTTAAAAGTAATCTCTCCGATATTCGGAGAGGGACGAGTATACATCCCTCACACCCTAAGACTGTCTTCTTCATGCATGGATCATCTCATTAACCAAGAATACATCCTTCTTGATGGACCTACCAAAAAATAAAAGACTAAAAAAAACGCAACCAAAAAAAAAAAAAACTTTACCTGCCAGATGTGAATTCGAGCAGGTGTACAAGTTACAAATCTATGCTTAATAAACGTGGGAGCATGGGTTTATGTAGATGACAAAAGGTGGCTGTCAAACAGTGATTTCGATGTAGGACGTTGCGAGAATTGGTTTTTGAAAAGGACTCGGATTGTTGGGCGGCAACAGTTACTCTAATTAGAGTTGGCGTGGGATGGAATCCTAGCAAGACAATAATATGTCAAGTGGAGTTCTTACCACATTGTTGCCAGCGTGTAAAAAGGCCAAAAAGAAACCAAATTCAATTTCCATTTGACAATCCAAATGCAAAATCAATTCCATTTAAGTTTGTTTTCTTTATCCAAACATATAAGACTAGTGCAAGCTTTAAGAAATTGAAGCTAAGAATCTGTTAGTACATGCTCTCAACTTTAGCAAGAAATAAAATGTTATTTTCGAAGGTTGGTGTATTAATTCACTGATACTTCAAGTCTAGCCTTCGAAATTAACAAAGTTAATGTCTTGACAAGTCTTGAAGTAGGGGCATTTATAGGCATATAAATTTTATTAAAATTAAATTCATAAAATAATTTGAAATATATTTTAAATTCAAGATATATTGGTCCAAATAAATATTATGGGCTAATATAATTGAATTAATTAGATAAGTCCAATATATATAGATTAAATAAATAAGTCTTAATACATTGGGCTAGCCCATTTGATTGGACTAAAGTGATGAGCCCACTCCATTAAGTCCAAGTTGTCATCTTCCTAGAGGCCCATTTTGGCGTCACGCGTCAAATGACGTGGCGCGCCAAGTCAAATAAAAGAACCAATGGGATCATGCCACGTGTCAAAATGACAAAGCATGCCCAGCCAAATTAAATGGCCAATGAAATCGCATCACGTGTACAAGTGACATGTTCTGGCCAATCAAATGTGGCTTTGTCACACTTTAATTTGATTGGTCGGAAAGAATTTATTCTCATCATAATTCTTCTCTCCCCACAACTATAAATAGGGGTATTCATAACCCAGAAAAGACACCAGAAGTTATAATAAGAAGCAAGAAAGAGCTCGTGGATCAAACACTGCAAATTTCTCCACAAGTTTCAAGCTCCATGCAATCAAGTTCAAGTTCAAGAACGAAGAACAAATCAAGGTCAAGTTCAAGCAACCAAGCTAAAGCTCAAGAACAAGACCATCGTTCGTGGCGATAACCACATATTCAAGATCAAGCTCAAAGGCCCTTGAATTTATTTATTATTGAAAAGAAGAATTAGAGGATTCATAGAGATTGTACACTCAAATATTTAAAATAAAATACTACGATTGTTGCAATATTTTCCGATCTTGATTTTATTTTCTCGACACAATTAATTATCTATACCTACATTAGTAGAGATTTACATTAAGGGCAAGCATATGATATCTTTTGCATGCATGTGACTTCTTTGTGAGAGTGAGCGACTTTTTTTGATATATGTGAGTCTTTAAAATATATTTGAGCATGAGATTCGAATGTGTGAATTCTTTTTACTCTCTTTCATTTTGTCGTGTGGGCACATGGTTTCACGAGGGATAGGTAACGTTATTAGGCTTCTCGACTATGTTGAGTGTTCAAGCCATGAATGCATTGTGACATTGAGTCGGATTTTGAGCTTAGAATTGTTATGAGCGCGTTGTCTTTATTATGTATATTTTTTAAGAATGGCATAAGTAAAGGAAAGTGTAAGTGATTGCATATGCTACCTTTTAATTGTTGCTATCAACCATGGTCATTGATATGGTATGCTTCAAATGTGTAAATATAAAGTACTCAAGAATATTGTGAATTGTTGATGGACTCAAGGACGAGCAACGTTTAAGTGTGGGGTGGTGATGTTCGGTCAAAAATACATATATTTAATCATTGTTGCCTCATATTTTAGAACTTTTAATCATCTTTTGAGTGTTAATTATATTATTTTATGCTTAATATTAGATTTTAATTGTGTGAGAATAAAGCGGTGTGAAGATAAAGAGATTTGGAGCAAAACTAAAAAAAACGTGAAAGAAAAAAAAGAAAGAAAAATAAAGGAAGAAGACAATGGAAACACCCTTTGGTGTTTGTCCCCCAAATAGAAAGCTAAGGCAAAAATTGAAAGAGGGAAAAAAACGAGAAACCTTTCTGGTTTTAGCGCTAGGGCATGCGCCTCGCGCTGGCTTGAACCTTACAGGCGGTATTTTTTCTATTTCACCCAGGACATGGTTATTTCGGCCATATACGGTCTCATCTCGTATAAAAGAGGTCCTAAACCTATTTTGGATGGGAAGACGTTTTTAGAGTAACTTTGGACCAAGAGAGAGCACAGAGCCACCTTAGAGGCCGGAATTCATCAAATTTTATCTTTCTTCCGCCAAACTTAGTATTTTTTATGGTTCTTTGTATGTTTTGTTGTTTGGCTATCATATCGATGCGAAACTAAACTTCACGTTCTAGGGTTGTGGTTCATTCATGACTATTGTTATTCAGATATTGATTTTGCTTTCTTAATTTATTATTGGTTTATTTATTCAATCTTACGCTTAATTATTTAATTGATTGATCACCAATTGAATACTATCTACAAATCTAGAATTGAACTCGAAAGTGGGAATTCTAGATTGCACATAGGATTGAGTAGAGCAAGTTCATGAACCTAGGCATCGGGGAACAGATTCGTAGTTAGTATAGACATATACCTAATTGCTTGCTTGGTTGATATACATGAACTATAAATATGTTCTTGTTAATTCTAACTCCATAGACATATAGGCATTAGGTTAGCTTGAATAGGCGAGTAAGAACTTGACAGGTTCTTATGAGTAATATCAACCCTGTCAATCAATAAACTAGACAAATTAGTTAGTCAATTCAATTGAATAATACAATAGGATTGTTAGATATCCCATAACCCTAGATCGTTTTCATCGCATTGATAACATAAACATCTGCTCTTCTTTTGTTCAACGTTCACTATTTGTTTTTCCTTTATTTTAATTAGTTTAGAGTTAAATACTTCTAGGTTTAATTCTTGTTTAGATAATTAGAAAAATCTAATTTAGTTAATAGTTATTCACAAGTCCTCGTAGGTACTTGCATGTGCGTTTGGCCACAACAAGGGGGTTTGATAGAACATCGCAGTCGAGATATTTGAATGTGTTGGAACGCGATAATCTAAACAGATTAGATAGCTCGTAAATCTTAAAACGAGAACTTATTCGTTCTTGTGTAGAAGCGGAAGCGGAAGATTGAACGAACCGTGACTAGAATCATTGGTCAACGGTGATTGTCACGGTGTGTTAAAACAATTCCAATATCGCATGTAAATTCTAATCTAATTTTAGGAGAAGAGAATGTACAATATATTTAATTATACAGTGTCTTAGTATAGAAAATATTAGAGTTAAATTTAATGAGCCTTAGAGCACCCCTTGCGGGTGGAAATATGAGGGTGAACCCAAATTTCCTACGGAATTAAATATTGTCTATGTATTTGATCATTCTTATTTGAATAAGATCAACAAAAGATTTCTCGTGTCTTGAATCTTAATGTCGAGTAAATTTTGTCTTGGTGAATAATTATATTTTCTTTATCGTCCTTTTTACCATAATTAGTCATGATTTTGAGAAATTAACCATGATGTATATCTATACATGTAATTAGATTTTTTTCACCATATACATGTAATTAGTCACTATGATTTGTTGAACATAATCTCCGGAATTAGGATTATGAACGTCGTTTTACAGTTAGGGAAAAAGCAAATTAAACCGCCAATTTTACTCCCAATATTTCGCAGTTAACGAACGTGGTGCATACTGCCTACACGCATAAACCACTCTCTCCTTCCTCGTTAAATCTCCCTTATATCTTTCTTATTTTCGCGCGCTGTCATTTATTAGACAAATGGCTTGCTCATTAATTAATTATTATTCTCTTTCCTTCATAAATCTCACACATTAAATCCTCCACCATTACCTGTAGCAACTTGGCCTTATGCTTCTTTTTTCTTCTCTATCATCTGCCCTTCACTTCTAACATGAAGGGTTGTGTGTTTTTCCCTTGGTTTGTGAAAATAGTAGTGATAACCAACATTATTTGCTTAATTAGCAATAATGTTGATTTAGCAGAAGCCAAGCAAAAGAAGCTGCCACCTAAAAATATGGCTGCACAGTGCGATTTGTATGATGGAAGATGGGTTTTAGATTATAAGTACCCACTTTATAATGCCAAAGATTGTCCATTCCTTTTACAGCAGTTTGATTGTGTAAGAAATGGCAGACCGGACAGAGCGTATCTCGAGTATAGATGGCAACCGCGAAATTGTGACTTGACCAGGTAACAGTCCTATCTTTCCATTTCTTTTGGTAAGGAATATGAGTGCAATTGAAATTCTTTGGGATCCAGTTATGTTAATACATTTTTGTATTCATAAGACTGTTTAGTATTTCTTGAGTTCTTAATCTTTAGCCAAGAGAAATTATGAACTAGAATAGTAGAGCTTGCGGCCCGTCAGTATTTCGTAGTAGCCTCATTAGATCATAACTCCAATAGATAGGACCATAAATTGGGTGGCTTCAAAAATGGTTGTTAAATCGTTAGCATTATTAACTGTTTGATTATCTATGAAAAATCAAACTTCCATAGTAGATATGTTAAATCGTTAGCATTATTAACTGTTTGATTATCTATGAAAAATCAAACTTCCATAGTAGATATGATAATTAACTTTAATTTGAAACGTCAGACAAAAAATGTTTATCATCTCCTAAATGTTTGAGCATCTTGTTAGTTCTATTTAAAGATTAATCAGTTGAGCAGCTGTTGTATGTATTATGTAATTCATTTTACCGGCTAAGGAAAGAGTAATTAATTACTCCCTATAGTATTATTTTCTAGACAAAGAGAAGAAATTTTTGGGCGGCGGGAAGAAAACTGTGTGTTTTCAGAAATTCAAATTTTTAGCTTAAAAACGAAAATTCTGAGAACTTAGGACCATGGCAAAGTTTGTCTCATCTATATCGTGCTTTGTAAATATTCGTTTTATCTAGGGTGGACAGGTTTTGCTCGATAATATGAATATTAGTTTTCGTGCATTGTGTCTTTTGCCATTTAGGTATTTTTGTATGAAATGAGTGATTGAAATTCGAGAAGCAAATGATTAAACAAAAGGTTCCTTTCTTAGTAATATAGTTACTTGTCATTTGTGAACTTGATGAATATTAATCTGACAAGTACTGCTGTATTCCCGCGTTGAGTATTAAATGAATGGAAGATTATTTAATCTTGTGATCTCGTGAAGATCATTTATTATAGTACTATATTTTTATTACACGCACATCCAATGAAACATTAGCAAAAATGTTTTTATCTTTGGGTTTTTGGATACGTAGGTGGGATGGAAAGGATTTCGTGAGAAGAATTAAAAATAAGAAGGTGCTTTTCGTGGGAGATTCATTGAGCTTGAATCAATGGCAATCCTTGGCTTGCATGCTTCATTCTGCCTTCCCTTGTGCATATTACAATGTCACCAGAAATGGAGCTCTCATGTCAACTTTTTCTATACCAGTAAGTCGTCAATATTGAGGGGAATTCAGATTTTAGAGTCGAACTGTTCGAAATAAATGTGATATATTATATATACATATTTTAAACTCTTTTAGTACATATAAGTGAACCGACTTAACTCACTAATCCGCTCTAGTCGGAGGTCGACCAACAAGATAGGGAAACTTCGGCAAAAACTACATATATATACTTGCAAATATTTTCAAAAAATAGGCAAATATTAACGGAGGTCATCATACTAATCTTTATGAGCAATGATAAATTTATATTGAACGTAATGATGCCCCGTGACCGTCAACTCTCGGGTCCGCCTCCAGCTCTAGTTTGGCCTATGGATTCATCCATCCTCTTTTTTTCCGCTAACATTTGGCTTTTAATATTGTCAGTGTCAAATAGATTATAATTGCTAATAATCTCTCCATTTTAATGTTTGATTGAATTTAGTCGAAGCAAGTGACAGTGAGTTACGTGAGAAATGCACTGCTGGTTGACAAAGTGAGGCAGAAATCAAAAAGAGTGCTAAAGCTAGACTCGGTTGCAGGTTCGTCAAAGCTGTGGATGGGTTATGACATCTTGATCTTTGATACTTGGCATTGGTGGCTTCACACTGGAAGAAAACAACCGTGAGTTATATAATTCTCGTTATTAATACTCGTCCGTTCATTATCATATGATCTTATTTCTATATATTTTGCTTCACTCTGAACCCTGTCATTATGTTTTTGGTCTTTTAACAAATTTAGCCAAGTATGCAAAAAATATATATTTATAATTATAGCCGCTAATCAAACATACAAAAATGTACACTGTAGATATAAAATATGTATATTATACGTCAATATACAAAAGATATATATTTGTCGTCTATTATTTTGGGAGGCTGCTATACTGAATAAAAATCCCTTTTTTTCAAAACGAGATGAGTACTAATAAGAAGTAGCTACATGAATTTTATGTATTAGATACTAAAAATGGTACTAAATTTTGCAGATGGGATGTGATTCAAGATGGGAAATACGTGCGCAAAGATATGGATCGTTTAAAAGCTTACGAAAAAGCCTTGGTAACATGGGGTAGATGGGTTTCCGACAACATTAATTTCAAGAAAGTTCAGGTCTTCTTCCAGGGTATCTCCCCTGATCACAGCAAGTAAGTTTTTTTTTTTAATTATTATTTAACAGAATTAAATAAGAATCTCCAACTTCCATTAGAGTAATATATCCTAATGTTTTTATTTGTCTAATAAATGTTATTAACAGTGCCACCGAATGGGGGAGAAAGACCAACAAAATGCAATGTTGGGGAGAAAAGAAACCCATAAAAAAGCTAAGGTATGGAAGTAAAGTTCAAGCAAACATGCTGTTGGACCAAGTGTTGGGAAAAACAGGAAAGCCAGTTCATTTGCTGAGTATAAGCAAAATGTCACAATATAGAGTGGATGGTCATCCTTCTATTTATGGAAGCCCTAGGTATAAAGGCATGGATTGTACACATTGGTGTCTTCCTGGTATTCCTGATACTTGGAATCAACTTCTTTATTCTAATCTCATGTAAATTGATAATTGTTATACTGAGGAACTCAGAAAATATTTGAAAGAATTATATCAAAATTATAATACAAATTTATATTGTACTTACTATCTAATAGTGTTGGTAATTGTGGTTGAATTTCAATAATATTTGTTCATTTGGTTACTTGTGCGAGCTCGAAGAAATGTACACTTCCAATCGGTTTAATCGTTTAATAATGTTATTTTGCGGTTTTAAAATTTTCCATTTATTTGACAAGAAAATAGTTGTCATTCTTTTTTTATTTCAACAATCTTGGGGTTTTGGATTGCTTTTGGTTTAATATTTGGAAAAGTTAAAGCTTTTTAGACAACAGTCAAAAGATTAGCTTTTAGCTTTCTTCTATTTTCATCTCGCTGATTATCCTAGATCAATATCGTCATCATATGTCAAATGTAAAGACGGTTTTACTGTATTCGACTCTTTAATTAGGACTTAGGAGCGGGTTGTTTATAAAAATCCGAAAACCGAACCAAATCAAAAATCGAACAAAACCGACCAAAAAAATAGATATATTTCAGGTTTGGTTTGGTTTGGTTTTGGTTTTGAATTTTAAAAACCGATCAAATTTGATTTGGTTTTGGTTNTGTTTGGTAGTGTATATCTCATATTTAAGAAAAAACCGATAAATAACTAAAAAAACCGAAAAACCATCAAAAATCGAATCGATAAAAAACGACTTAATTAGTTTGGTTTGGTTCCAATATTTTAAGAACCGACTTACTTGGTTTGGTTCTTCGTTGCCACCACACTAAGTAGGCGTTTGGACATAAGAATTATAAAATTCGAAAAAATTGTGAAAAATTTTTTCAAGTGAAAATGGTATTTGGAATTTAGAGTTGTGTTTGGACATAAATTTCAGTTTGAGTTATTTTTGAAGTTTTGTGAGTGATTTGAGTGAAAATTTTGAAATTTTTTTTTTTGCAGTGTTTCAAATTTTTGAAAATTTTCAAAATGTATCTTCAAGTGAAAATTAAAAATTTTATGAACAAACGCTGATTTCGAAAAAAAGTAAATTTTTTTTGGAAAAATCTTCCATCAAATTTTATGTCCAAACGGGCTCTAAATTCTCTCCCCACCGCCTCTCGCTTCTTTCTCTCTAACCCACACAGATCCCCTCAACCTCTCTTAACCTAGCCCCCGCAACTCTCCCTCCCTTTACGCAGTTCTGCCATCAATGGCTCGAAGAAAGCTCAGGCTCCTCCTCCATCTTTCAAGCCCGTCAAGTCTGATGGTGGCAAGCAGAAGAAAATTAAAGATTTTAAAAGAAAAATAAAAATACACACAAATCTGAAAATAAATAGCTCTCAAACTTGATTTGCACCAAAAAATAATCACTAATTTTGGAAGATTTTGAAGTTTGAAATTCGGGTCATCATTGTTATACCTTGAAGTCTCATATCTGAAACTGGATGTATCTTGTCTGGGTGTTGAATTCGGAATCGTTGGCGCAAAGTTGTTGACCTATTGATGAGTTGAACCATTCAATACCTTCTGCTACAACTCGAAGTTTGGATAAAAAAATCATATTATGTAATAGTTTGTATCAACATTGTATAATAATGTATAATTGTGTATATGGATGTACAAACACCTCTTATATATGTTTATACAAGTTGATACATTATTTACGGTAAGTGTAGTGTTGGACATAATGTGTTTTCTAGTGGAAATATTGTATGAGTGATATTTATATCCACTTATACAATATTGTATAATTATGTATAATTGTGTATAAATGTATTTATTAGTGTATAATTATAGATTTTTTCAGTTTACAAGGATGGATATACATTGTCACTGTATAAGAGACCTCTATGAAAGTTTGACACTTTCCTCTCTTCTTTTTTGTGTATGTGCTATATGAAAAAGATCTTGTACGCGTTGGAGGGATTCTACAATTCATTTACCAAATTTTAATTTTTCTGAAATATGTAAAGAGGGAAGTAAAAGAAAGAAAAAGGAGAAAAGGAAAAGATAAAAAGGTGGAATCTGATTTAGATGTGAAACTAATGGTAAAAGGAAAAAGGAAATCACAATGAGTAAACGATGGGCGAAGTTTGACTTGTTTTCAGAAATGTTTGTGGGCTATCGGGTGAAAACTGTATTTTTGGGTTAGACGGGTGAAAAGGTAAAAATTGCATGGGCCGCCTTATTTGGTCGTTCCATTTAACGTATACCTATATTTTTAAAATTATTTAATATATACCCTAATTTTAACAACATTAAATCCTGCGAGCTATGCGCTCCTTTCTTTCTCCTCTTCTTTTCCTCTTCTTCTTCTTTTCTCTCTCAAACATGTTATCATATAAGTTACACATATTATCGTTTCTGGAAATTGGACAAAGCAACAAATCAAGAAGAAAGAAAGACTCGTCACTGCCACTCAAACATTAATACATCCCAACACAAAATACGTAAATAATAAAACAAGAGTTTATTGTCAAAACTCGAAGAAGCGTCAACTGAAGTTTGGGACTGCAGGGACAAACTTCAGACATTACCAGGTTAAATTTTGTCTGAAGTTTGGAACTATCATGCCAGGAAAAATTATCTTAAGTTCAAATATAACAAGCTGATTTTGTCTGAAGTTTGCACTACAAACCGAAAAACTTCAGACTAATTTATCTGAAATTTGCACTACAAACTGAAGAACTTCAGACTAATTTGTCTGAAGTTTGCACTACGAACTGAAATTTTTTTGATTGCTTTTGCAAGTCAGGCCAAACTTCAGACGAAAATATCTGAAGTTTTACTTTGATAAGGTCACACTTCCGGCAAAAAATTCTGAAGTTCAAACTTCAAACATAAATTCTTGCTATTTCGGGCCCCGTATGTCTGAAGTTACCCGAAAAGTGGGTACGCTTGTAATTTTTTTGCAAAACGGGTGTAAGTTAAATTGTGACCCAAAAGCTGGGTATAGATGCAAATCCCCGGTGAAAAGTGCTTCCTCTAACAGTATTTTTGTGTAAATTTCCCCAAAAAAACACCAACAATCTCAAAGTATGTCACTGACTATCCGCCAGGATTAGTGGCAATGTAAGTTTTGCCAATCATGAAACTCTTAGTGATCTATCGAGATTTGTATTTTGACCTCATTAAGAAAAGTTTTAGTAAAATAACCTTACGTTGAAATTTTAAAGTTCATGGCCAAAATTTGAAAGCACGTAGCCAGTATTTAGTTCTAGCAAATTCTGGCAGTGTGCTTCAAAATTTTGGTAGCATACTTTAAAATTTTGTTACGTGCTTCAAACTTTTAGCAGCATGCTTTAAAATCTGACAGTATACTTTAAAATTCCTACTTTTCAATTCTGTCAGCATGCTTAAAATTCTGACAGCGGGGCTATATTCTAATTTCTTTTCTTAATAAGGTTAAAATATAAATGGTGGCACTAAATGATCCTACTTGTACAAATCTCCATAGAATATGTAGCACACAGATGTAAAAAATTTCGCAAGGCACCTGATTTGGTCACCTCTATTTAACTTGTACTCACTTTTTAAATAAAAATTTAACCGATACTCAATTTTGGGATAACTTCAAATATTTTTGGTTTCTTCTTAGTTGTAAAATACCATTGCAGGTTGTTGTTGTTCTTCTTCTTCTTCTATTATTATTTTGATAATTTGATGATTAGGATTTGTTCTTTATGATATTTGAAAGTTATGTTTCAAACCTGAGCTCATTTGGATTAGATTTAGGCATTAAATCATGTGTTGTATTGTTAAAAGGGATTGTTACAAAAATAGCCGGCCAGATTCAATATTTATATTTTTTAGCCGATATACATAAATTATACATTGATTATACATATATTATATATGAATTTAGCATATATTATATATCTACCAGCTATTTTTAGTTTAAAAGGTTAGGTAGATGACTATTTGTGTTAAATCTTCTTGTAAAATTTCGAAGAACAAAGTTATGTTTCAGAACTTAAGATTCAAAATGTGAAGTTGCATTGAAGAGATTGAACTACTTAAATTTTGAATTTTCTAAAGTTACATTTAAAATATAGAAGAACTTAAAATTTGATTTCTGAAGACACATTGAAGAGTTTGAATTTGAAGTTGCACTTGAAAGATAAAAGAAATTAAGATTTTATTTTTGAAATTGCATTGAAGAGATTGAACTACTTAAGATTTGAATTTTCTGTAGTTGTATTAAAGAGATAAAACTACTTTAAATTCCAAATAGTAAATTTTGTAAATTTAAGTATTACTTCATTGGATCCCCAAAAGTTATATGCAAATGCCCCACGATTTCTCGAACTAGGCCCAAACTGATGGGCCTCTGATTGGGTTGTGAACAAAAGCATAGTTGAGGCTGGGACAGAAAATTCTTAGCCGACGAGGTGATTGTGACAGGTTGCGGTTGCCGATGTGAAGCTAAACAACGCATGTGACCAAAGGCTGAAAAGCCAATTTTTTTTATTTTTTTTGAAAAAGATTTTCATTTAAAAACTTAAAAACCAAAACATACATTTCTTCCAAAAATCATTTTGATGTCAAAACATGTACTAAAATCCAACTTATATAGACACTGCTTTAACATGCAAATGCATTTTGTAAAATGTTTGTAAATTTTAAAAGTTATTTCGTTTAGTAGAAATATTAACGAAAAAAAACTTCTCTCAGATGTTTGGAATTGCTTTTGGGACAAAAATTTAGACACCATATGCGAATTCGATTCCCTGTTACCTAAAGTAATAAAATTTCCATTTGAGGTTAATTAGACAAAAAAAAAAGGCTTTACTACTGAATTGAAGTGCTTAAACAAAATTAGTAAAAATACTTTGCCATTTGAAAGCATTGTTAGAACATTTCCAAAAATAACAATTACTACTCCATAAGAAAGAAGATCGCACTTTTTCGTATGTCATTTCTCTATAAATTGAAATGATCAACGGCATTGCTCTCTATTATTTTATTAAATAAAAAATCAGGCTATGTCAAATAATGAAGACATTAAATAGAATCATGTTTTAACTACTGAAGATTTCATAAATCAGTTATAAATCAAGATATTTATTAAGTAATTAATACTAACAAACCATAGAGCTTCTTCTAATAGGTAATACTAAAAGTTTGTAGACCATCATATATCATGAACTTTTCGTTGAGATAATTTGTAACCTGATTACACTAAGGTCTAATATTAGTTTTAAATTCTTTCCGTTCTCTTTTCCTTTTATTTCATTTATTATTCAATAATATTACTCATTATCTTTTCTTGTTCATATTCTTTATCTGTAGGCAAACAAATTAAAACTACTAACCTTTTCTCCATCAAGAAATCTACAAGTCTATAATTGCTAAAATAGGTGTTAGGACCATTAGTATCATTTCTAACTAACACGTGACCTTTCTTTTTCATACTTAAATTTTCTTTCTCATATTCTCAGCGTTTCGTTTTTACTCTCTGGCTACCTTCCTTTATATTGCTTCCTTATGTGCGTATAATAGGAGTCTCACTACACTTGAGCCTTATTTCTCCACACATTTGAGGAAAAAAAGAGTAGCAAAAAGAAAGAAAAATTAAACCATGTCTTGTTTATTGTCTTTTCTCGTGGTTTTTTCTCTATTGGTTCTTGTTTCCATGTTGAGCCATGTACATGGAAAGTTGATCAATGATGTAAACCAGTTGGGAACCAACGGCTGTGATTTATTTGAAGGGAGTTGGGTTTATGATGATTCTTATCCTCTTTACGATTCATCAGTGTGTCCGTTTATTGAAAAACAGTTTGATTGTCTAAAAAATGGAAGGCCAGACAAAGATTATCTCAAATATAGATGGCAGCCCATTGAGTGCAATTTACCCAGGTACGTACTCTTCTTCAATTGATGATGTTTAATAATTTCTTTTTTTCTTTTTGTCCTTACATTGTGTGATAAGGGCGGAGTTAGGCGGGCAGCACGGGGTTTAGCTGAACCCATTCGCGCGAAAATTATAGTGTGTATATAAAGTCATTATTTTGAATCACTTTAGCTTGTTCGCATTTTTTATTTTTTTTATTTTTCATGTTTTGAATACCTTTGGTGAAAATTTTGATTCCGTGTTTTAACCTCGTTCATGGCTGTTTTTATGTTTTAGTAACAGCTTGTGTTTTCTGTTAATGTACTTTTGTGTCTGCACAGCTTCCAATTAATAGCTGCCTCTTTTCATGGCGGAAACGTTTTAATCCGTGACTTTTTGTTTGTCTTTTTTGCTGTTTGTTTTTATTACTCTGTCTTTTCGGTTAATATTGGTTATTAAATGCAACTTTAATGAGGAGCAGCCTTATGCTTAATCTTGCATTTGATCACCTTTCATCTCGAAAGGTCTCTCTCTCTATATGTGTTAACCATTGTTTTAAAATACATGTTTTAACCATTGTTTTAAAACGTTTTTACGTGGGGCATAAGCTTCATAAGTATTTAATTTTTATTATTTTATAAAATAATATAATTATAATAAATAATTTTAAATAGGTAAAATTGCTTATAAATTGAAGAAAGTTATAAATAAATGAAATATATATATATAGATGTGCTCCATCCCCACAAAAAATTAGTTAAAATAATTCATTATATGCTTCTTACAAGCACAAATAATTTGAATTGAAAAAAATAAAGTTTTCTACATGGAGGAACAAAAAAGATAACTACCATGAAATTTGAACTTTGAACTTGCTGCTATGAAGGATAATAGAATTTTCTTTTGTATTTGAAAAAAAATTGACCGTTTGTTGCTTTTGGGAGATAGTAGCACACTGGCGGACAAGATAGAAAGTTGGGAAAGACTATAAATTAGGGCTTCTAGCAATAAAAAAAAAGTTCTTGACTTTTAAATTTATTTTTTCAGTTCTTCTTTAATATTTTTGAGTAATTACAAGCTGACTTTTGAAATTTTGAATGTTATATTAAGGACTTATTTAGCAAATTTTATTTTTATTTGAAAAAGTCTCTTGGGCTTACGCCTCATTGCAAAAACGTGACTCTAATGCCCATACTTACGGCCCTAGTTGTTGGGCGTACGCCTATCGAGACTTCCCCCAATCGCCTCGGGGCGTTTTTGTGCCTTTTAAAACACCGGTGTTAACAAATATTACTCTTTGATTAATATTGTCTGTTTTTTTTATTTTTTTGCGCATATTTTTAAAAAGATATTTAGTCGCCTTATAAGAATAATTGTCTAAACTATCTTTTATCACTCTATGAAATGTTTCAAATTCACTTCCATCGTACAAGGTTAAATTTCTTCAAAAAAAAATTCAATTTGCTAAAGCCATTTCTAATTGGAATGAAGAGAGCAATAGTTGATGTTAAAAGAACCTGGAAATTACGAAAGAAGAAAGAAAATATCAAATATTATAAGTAAATAAATGGTATATTGGTATATATGCGAATTAGGTTGGGTTCAAAAGTCATAAGTCACAAGATTGTGGGGCGAAATGGTTTTGTATTTTGATCCGTCAAATCACTTTTAATTGGAAAATAACGTGAACGTGCATATTATTAATTCTTGGATGATGAAATGCTAGAGAGATACCTCCCACTTTCCCTGAAAAAGAAGTATTAGAACTTTTTCTCTCAAAAACTATATTGCATTTTAGGCTAATTCATTCCAAAAACTTTAGGATAGACAATTATTAGATACCACTTGCTTCTGCAATACAATTATTTGGAAAAGATTCTCTCTTTTTTCCAACATTACTTTTAGTGCCACTTCCTTTTTGCAATAAGCACTTAAAAAGATTTACCATAAGTAAATAAGTTCTTGAAAAAATCATGGGACTTGTGGATTTTCTGTTTTTGTTTTTTCTTTTACTTTTCCTTGCTAGTTTCGTTATGAGTGTTAAAAGACTTTACTTCCAAGTTTGGGTTTTTTTTAATTAAATCTGCAATAATCACAATTCACGTGTTAATAACTGGCACTCTTAATCAGAAAAGGAAATTAGCATTGACAGATGCAAAGACAGTTGGATTTTGTCGGTCAAAATCTAGAAAACAACGTAATCTAATCAAACACGATGATGAAGTTTAAGATTTTCCAAGCTGGCGGATCATGTGCAAACTGTCTGTGCTTTATTTGGATTTGATTTATTTGTTTCATTCAGAGCATAAAAAGAAAGGATGTTTTATAAATGTTATTTGTTAAATTTTAATAATGTCACTACGTTTAATTTAGTTTCAATGTACTTTGTTAAAAATCTTTGATTTTGTTAGAGATTTATAGACTATTATTAAAAGATGTAGAGAAATTCTAATGTTAGAAATGTTTATAATTTGGATTGAGAATGCTTAAATAAGAGAGATTTCAAGAATACAACCCAACATATTACATTACACCTGTGTAGCCATATTTTAAGTTTACAGCCTCATAGCCGATTATATATTTCAACAGTATTTATACACCCGGTACACAATATTTTATAAGATTACATAATACACAATTATTATAATATAATATTATCAGATTCTAACACATATCTTTTTAATAGTTATTAATTGGTGAATTGAAATTTTATATTATATACAAAATTGGCTAAATTAGGTAACATAAAATACAGGGTAAAATTGGTTGAGGGAAGTGTCCCACCTTTATTTCCCCGCATTTGTTTCCAAAATAAATAATGTGAAAGTAATGATTCATACGATAAACTCTAAAATCAAAGCGTAATTATTGTTGATTACGACAGATTGATTCATGGACCCTCCAGTGGCAACCCCGCTAGTGTCGGTCCTCATTTGCTCTTTATCAGCTCAAGCAACAAATATATTCATAGACAAATTACCATGGTAAAAGTCACATTTTTTTTATTGTGAGAATTCACTATTTGTGTAATAATATTGTCTAAACAAATCGTTCTAATTCGCTCCGCTTAGTTGCCATCCCTAGAAATTAGAGGCGGGTTTAGGATTGTAAAACATTAATCTCTATTATTTTGTGTAGGTTTAATGCTATAGAATTTCAGCAGAAATTCAAGGGGAAGCAGATGATGTTTGTAGGAGATTCAATTAGCCTAAATCAATGGCAGTCTCTCACTTGTATGCTATATGCTGCTGAACCTCAAGCTAAATATGTCTCCAAAAGGATTGGAGGCACTTCTATCTTCACATTCCCGGTACATTTTGTGATTATCAATTTTTCAATAATATTCTCTTCTTCCTAATATATTACTACCATATTTCTAAGGAAATCATTTCCCAAGAATTATAACACCTTTAATTTGAAAACTTGTTTCCTTTTTGTTTTATATATTGCTACAAATATGACATATGTTTCTCAATCTTCAAAAAAGATGCACTTAAGAGTTAAGATTTAAGATTTAAGCTGATGATTAAAATTTCAACTAAATTTTACATGTAAGTTGTTTTTTACTAATAGAAATTGTTTATGAGACCTCGAATTCCCATGTTCTAGTGTGCATTATGCCAACAGGTTCCTATCAACTCTATATAAGGTTCGGTCATTTTTTCTTTTCAAGAAATGCTAAAGTAAAAAAAATGAGGTAGTCTATATATTATATATCGATTAGGGATGTTCAAATCGAAACGAAAAATCGCACCAAACCGATTAAAAATCCGACTAGGTTTGGTTTGGTATTGAGTAAAAAAATCCAAACCAAACCGACATATAAATATATAATTTTTATATATACTTTTAAGACTTTATATTGAATTTTCTTTAAAAAATATGTAGAAATATTTGAGATCCTCTCATGGGATGTATTTAATAGAACTATGGAGTGCATTCATTTTTATTTACTATAAATAATGAGTTGTATCACTTTCTTATCAAATGTTACTGAAATGCGTCAATCATCTCTTTGTTCTTCCATATTCATAAGTCAAGTTTTCTTATATTTTTTTTGAATTTGAAATAGTATTTCGATAATTTAAAATTAAATAGAATATATCATTACTTAGGTATCATCTTGATTTTTATGTTTAATTATTAAATTCGGTTAACCTCAAAAGCGTATATTAACTAAAAATTATTGTTAGACAACTAAGAAATAACTATCATGTGTTACCAAAAAATATTTTCCAGAAGAACATTTTAATCGATCATATATGTTTGTCATTTTTTAAAATTTTTACTAAACATATGTTCACTTATCAAAATTTTATCTATAACTTTAATAAAGTAAAATTGAAAAATATTCATGTAACAAAAAAATTCAAAAACCCGAAAAGTCCGATAAAATCGAACCAATCCAAACCGATATAGTTAACTTGATTTGATTTTGATAAAAATCGAATGGGTGTTGTCCATGTACAACCCTAATATCGATTATACGATCAATGGGTCATTTTTATATATGTCCTTGTCGACTTTATCTAAGCCATAGTTGTTGGGTTTTTGAGTAAAGATGTGAATAAGCCATAGTTGTTGGGTTTTTAAGTGAGGATGTGAATAGGAAATGTGGAGGGAAAGGAAATTTTAAATTGGTTTCTTTTATAAAGGAACTTTGTCCATGGTTGGATATGAAGAGGAAGATTTTTGGGCTTATATATACAATCACTTCTTCTAAATTTTAAAGAGACTTTGGATTTTAATTTTAATTTGGATTTGGTCAAATGATTAAAATTTGAGGTGGGTATTTCCCAACGGTCATTTCCGAACACAATTTATTTTTCTTCAAAAACTAATTTTTTCTGATTTACGAACACAAATTTACTAACAATAGTTGGAGAGCAACCTTTTCCTAGGCATATTTAGATCTTGAATACATTTTCAAAATGCAGAAATACAACACGTCGTACGTGCTGTTCCGAAATGCTTTTCTGGTAGACATTACAACAGAGAACAATGGGACACGAGTTTTAAATCTTGACTCTCTCAGTTCAGCTGCTCAATGGAAAGATATGGATGTTCTAATCTTTGATTCTTGGCATTGGTGGCTTCATACTGGCAGGAAACAACCGTAAGTTCTCTTCTAATCATTTGTTAATTAGACATTGTCTAATAAGAATCGTATGCATTGGAATTTTTACCATCCCTTGTTCTAATTATGATTATGTTGCAGTTGGGATCTTGTTCAAGATGGAAACTCTACATACAAAGATGGAAATCGGTTAACCTTATATGAGAAAGCACTGAATACGTGGGCAAAATGGGTAGATTCTGAAGTAGATACTACAAAGACTAAAGTATTTTTCCAAGGAGTTTCTCCTGACCATGACAAGTGAGTTCAACGAATATTTTATACTACTTTGTTACATATTCTAAAACAACAACATAGGCGTTTAAGTTCTATACACTGATACTTAATTGCAAAATTAGCCCTGCGAGTTCAGGTTCAAAGACATGTGAAGGAGTAACACAACCATTGAAAAGTACAGAAGAAGTTCATCAAGAAGAATTGGTACTGGAAAAGGTTTTGAGAGGGATGAATAAATCAGTTAATTTATTAAACATAACAAAGTTGTCGCAGTATAGAGCAGATGGGCATCCTTCTGTTTATGGACATGGTGGACATAGGGACTTGGACTGCACCCATTGGTGTTTGGCTGGTGTTGTTGATACTTGGAATCTATTCTTAAATAATGCACTTCTTGGATTATGAAAATAGGCTAGGCTTCATAAACTCCCAAGCCAAAAGATTAAATTTTGTTATTTCTATTTTCATATTTAGTGCTTTTTCTATACTAATATCCTGATCATATGTTAAATATAATATTTATTAAATTTTATTACACTGGTTCGACTAGAGACTTTACGTAAAAAGGTTTGATGTTCATTTCAAGGAAAAAACTTTGTAGATCAACTACTAAATCTAAGCCCAAAATAAAGGGCCTATGCATTGGTCCAAAGTAAAAGTATTACAAGAAGCCTTGGGCCATAATCTCTTTACAATCAGGATGAAAGTGAATTCGGCTACCAGAAGGGGTGATTTGCACAAATAGTGGAAATGACACCAGCTAACAATTTTTAAGCATGTTATTTAAAATATTTTATAAAATTTAAAGAATTTATATTTAAGATTACCGATCAAAGTTGGTCGGTTAATGCAGGGAAAGTATTTACCGACCAACTTTGGTCGGTAATGTGGACCCAATTTTTTAAATTTTAATAATTATATTATTATTTAAAATATTTTATAAAATTTAAAGAATTTATATTTAAGATTACCGACCAAATTGGTCGGTTAATGCATGGAAAGCATTTACCGACCAACTTTGGTCGGTATATTATTTTTCATGGAAAATAACCGACCAAAGTTGGTCGGTTATTAGGTCAACATTGGTCAAACTTTTGAATCACTNCCCAGTTCTTTTTGAAATGAAACTTTATTCTTTAGCTATCCAGCTATAAATATCTGGAAGATAATTGTAGCTTTTCTTTTCCAGTTTTTTTCAATATGGAAATTAGTTACAGTTTCTTTTTATTGGTTTAATTTCAGATCATAGTTATTTGACCAGCGGCCATTTAGACACCACTATAGATTGGATACCAGGCATGGAAGGCATCCGTCTTAAAAATCTGCCAAGCTTCATTAGAGCCACAGTCGACGAACCTAGCTATATGGTAATCAAATTTATAATGGAAGAAATCTTGGACAAAATTCCTAAAGCCTCAGCACTCATTTTGAACACTTTCGATGCACTAGAAATTGATGTTCTGAAACCTATTTCGACCATGTTCCCAG